AATACTTTCCGAATGCACTGAATATGTGTGTGCGCGTGTGTATGTATGTGTATGTAAGGCTGCCCATCTCATATACATTATTCTGGGTGGCTAACAATTAAAAACAGAATAAAAACAATAACCCAAATGGTAAATTACATAAAATAGTGTAAAATAGTAGCTGAGGACACTCACAACGTCCCACAATCAACCCAGCCAGGAAACAGGCTCGCCCATACTATCAGGGCCCCAGGTTTGATGGTAAAACCAGGTTTTTAAGGCCTTGCAAAAGACCGGTAGAGTCAGGGCAAATCTGATCTCTGGGGGGAAGATGTTCCCGAGGGTGGCGTCTCTTGTGGGTGGGACCTGGAGCATGCCCCTCTTGCCGGATGTAATGGGACATGTAGATACTGCTGGGGACAGGCCGTTGCCACTGTCCACACCCAGGGTACCTTGGGAGGGGCTGCAGCTAAGAGCTAACTCTGCAAAAGTCTTTGGATTTGCAGGCCAAAAGTTGCTTGGGTGGATACAGTGCACAGCATTTGCCTGCCACTCCTGAAACCAAACACATCTTTCCCCAGGATCATACCTGCGGAGGGGAACTGGGAAAAGACCATTGGCTTTAGGGGACTGAAGACAGATGCCACGTGAGTGTTCCCGAAGAAGGTGAAACACCTTTTTGTTTTTGAATCCTGTCACTCTGCACCACCCCAGCTGACAGTACCGGGATAGGCTAAGGTCTCACAACTTCTGATGTGCCCTTTGCTCCTTTGCTTGGGCCCCTGGTTGAGCAACTGAGGTCCTTTTTATAATTTCTTGCACAGATGGAGGCTTTGAAACATGGCCCTTGGCGTACTGGGCAGATTTATCGGTCCCTGGATTAAAGAGATGCCTTAACCTATTTCAGCCACGTTCACTTTTATCAGTAGCCATGATGGGGATTTTTTTCCCAAGAAATGGGAAGCCCACGTCACAAACAAACAAACAAAAACATGGAGTGTTTGGGGGGCCTCTTGCACAGGGCAGCTGGGAGACTTAAAGCCCTAAACTGTGCAAGTGGACTTGATCAGCTGGAAGAAACAGCAGGAACGTACCACGGGGCCATTTACTAGAGGCGTTGGATAAAACGACTGCCCTCGGATCTTTGGGCACAGAGGAGGGTAGCACACTCTGTACCACAGAAGCCAAGATGCTGCAAACTGATTATGACTTTCTGTCTTTCCTGCCAGCTGCCTTCCACAACAGATTTCTTGGCAGTTCTGCTTGCTCATTTTGTACTCGGTAACAGCTCCCCCTTGTTTCAAGTATACAAATAATGCTGGCCTTTCTACTCCACCCTGTCTGTCTTCCCTCTGATGTCATGTCAACTTGATTGCAAGGCAAAAGGCAGGGGCATTTTGTCTTTTCATTTCTGTAGGGGGAGACTCTGGGGCTTTGTGCTGAATGCATGTGTGTCTTTTGAGGATATACAGGTAGTCCTCACTTAACCACTTGTTTAGTGACCTGTTTGAAGCTGAACAAAGGGACTTATAACCAGTCCTTGCACTTACAACTGTTGCAGCGCCCCCATGGTCAAAATTCAGGTGCTTGGCAACCGGCATGTATTTACAACAGTTGCAGCATCCTAGGGTCATGTGATCGCCATTTGCAACCTTCCCAGCTGGCTTCCGGTAAGCAAAATCAACGGAGAACTGCGTGATTCACTTAATGATCGCGTGATTCGCTTAACGGCCACAGTGACTTGCTTAATGACTGCTGCAAAAAAGGTCATAAAATCAGGCGCAACTTGTTTAACAACTGCCCCACTTAATGAATTTTCCGGTCCCTCTTGTAGTCGTTAGGTGAGGACTACCTGTAATCTGAAATCTATTTGTATCACTGTCCCTATAAGACCAGCAGCCACTTCAAAGCCAGCTGTCTACAGATACTCTGGCTTAGAATATATGGAGAACAATCAGCTTTCTACTGATTATTCAGTCAATATTATCCTGCATGGTGCAGCATTTAAAACTGGGCAGGATAGTTCCAAATTCAAATGAAGGTCTTTGAGCTAATTGTTATCTCTTGACCTATTCAACTTCACAGGGTTTTTGTGAAGGTAAAAGGAGGACAAGGAAGGAGACCTATGTATATTGCTTTGAAATCCTGGAAGAAAATTAAAAATGTAAGAGCCTTTCCTAGGATTCATCTACGGACCTCAAAGCACAAGCAATCAATGGACAGAAAGTAGGAATCTATTTCAGCCTTTCACATAGGATGTTTACAAGGTTCTGGGAAAGTTATAGGAACAAGTAGTTTTGGCAAATCGGTTGCCTGTTGGTCAAATCAGAACAAATGTGCTTTCTTTAAACTGTGTTATGCATGCTGCTGCCATACAGTTTTACAAACTGATAACAAATCAGAGACCATTTATTTTAAGATCTTGGAGAAATGTTTGACTTTCAGGAGGCACTTGAGAACACAGAAAAATCAGCCAAAGCCATTGCCCCAGTAAGAATCAAAGTTGCCATGTCAGGGGTCAACACCATTATTTAACTGCACCCCTCAAACAAGAGGCACCTAAATGTTTTAGGTTTACAGCTTCTCTTTTTACAAATATCGGAAAGCAGATTCTCTGACCGAAGGGGTGGCAATGTAGCTCGAGGAGGACCTGCATTCCAATACTTGTAAAAAGACAGGCTGTAAACCTAAACCTTGCCATTCTGTCAAGCTTGCCCTTGTTCAAAGGTCATGCTATGTTAGCAGAAGGCATGTCCAAGCAGATTCCCCACAAGCTGAATGCCTCCCCAAACCATTAGGACTGCCTCTCCCTATCAAATCTCCCACAACAAGATGGGTTGAGCCCGAGATTCCCAATATCATTTTACCTAAGCACAACAACGATGGGACTCTCACTGCCCGTTGCCACCATCAACCCCTTCCAGATCATCAGTGCTGAGGAAACGATCATCCCAAAGTTCAGGACCTGGTAATACAGCTGGGAGGGGGTGAGGGGACAAGGATTATCACTGGGAACTCAAGACAGTCCTCTGCAAAACACAAAGACACCCATGCACAGTGCTCTTCCTCAGGCACATCTCCAAAGGTAATGCCCCCCCCACACACACAAATGATAAACAGGACTGGGGACTGCAACCAGGCATGATCTCTTTTACTTGATTTCTTAAGTATGGCTAAAATCAGACTAAGTGGGACCCGGTTCTAAGTAACTGGCTTAAGCTGGCAGCTTGAATGTTAAAGCAGAGCATGCTAACAAGGCTCACACCTCAGATTAAAAGCCAGAGTTGATACGTAGTTTTGACTTAATCAATACATTGTGAAACTGCCAACCGTTGAGATTTGTAAACACAAACTATTGTAAAATAGTTTATGGCTTAATGTCACATGAACCAGTGAAAGCAGCATTTCTTCTACTGATAAGCGACTGAGTCTTGTTGGATTGAGGGGCCTATAAACTGTAGTAAATAAATAAAAATACTGTTTATTTAACAAGGCAGAGTAGCTTAATATAATATATGAGCCTGGCCACTACATTTACCTTCTTCTAGAGCAGTGGTCTCCAAAGTGGAACACATGAGCCTCAGGCGATGCTCAAGAAAAAACACAGAGTGTGGGTATAAAACATTAGAATGTCCATTTATATGTATTTATCTCACCCCCTTTTTAATTGCTAGTGTTGGGGTATGATTTATAATGTGCATGATATATCAGTACAGTGGTATAGGTCTATAATTTATAAATAAATAGGCATACGTATCCTGGGAGCGCATGCTCAAACTATGCTGATAAGTGCGCATGAACAGAAAAGGTTTGGGGACCACTGATCTAGAGAACCTATCAAACTTGCTTTCGGGGAGTCCTCTGAAGCAGAGCCCCATGGCTGCTCTGACGACCCCTAACGCTCTTGACTCACTTTTCCCAGACAACAATTGCTCTGAAGGAGAAATGTGAAGCGAAATGAGGCTGCAGAGCATCAAGTGCCTGAAGGGAGATGGAAGTTGCTCCCTTCCTGCAGCAATGTGGAGAGCCAACGTGGTGTCCTGGTGAAGGGGCTGGCCTAGAAATTGGGAGACGGTGAGTTCTGGGCCTCCCTCAGGCATGAAAGCCACCCGGGTGATTTTGGGCTATCATTCCCTCTCAGCCCAACCCACCTCATAGGGGGAAATTGTGGGTAAAAGAGGTGGCAGGAGCGTTAGGTAGGTATGTTCACCGCCTTGAGTTATACATAAAGGAGGAAGGATAAAAAAAAAAAATCCTTGGGAGATCTGGACTGGGAAGGCGACAAGCCCCTGGTTTCTGTTATCCGTCTCCTTTCCATCCAGGGTCATCAGGCAGTTCCAGCCTGTCTGCTCCTTCTGCTGTGCAATTCAAGGTCCCTCACTGCAATCGCAGACATATTAACTGCATTATTATTATTGTATTTTTATCCCGCCTTTTTATACATAACTCAAGGTGGCGAGCATCCTTAACATTCCTGACTATTTTCCCTACAATAATATATATATACACACACACACAACAATACACACGCACACACCATATAGAAAGGAGGGACTGTTAGCCCACTTCATTGGTTCTTTTGCCCCTCACACCTTCCCCAAGCGGGCGCCCTCCGGGTATGTTGCACTGCACCTTCCACGCTCCTTGACCTATGGGCACGCCTACTGGGGAGGATGGGAGTTGTAGTCCCACGCACCTGGAAGGAGGCGGGGCTGTACGAGCAGCGAAAGGGGCCAGGCCCGCTTCGTCACGTGACGTCTCCACCGCTCACACTAGTTTTTACCGCCCCATCGCTCAACCGGGGGCTCCGCCCCCCCGCTCAACTGGGGACCGACGGGACGCTGCAGCCCGCCGCGCAGCCGAGAGCAAGACCGCCCCCGGGACCGCCTCCTCCCTCCTCCCGGCGCCCGCGCGAACCTGCCGCTTATTCATCCGCCGAACATCGTCCAGAAAGTCCAGGGAGAGCATCGCGGCGGGCGAGGAGGCTGCCGCCGGGAGACCCGAGCGCCCCGCACTTCCGCTTCCGGCCGCCGAGGCCAATATCCGGCCAAGCTGGTCCGAGGGAAAAACATAGAGTTGGACGCGCTAGACCAGCCCGAACGAGCCCTGTTTGCCGAGAGGTCCTTCAGAAGCCTGCAGGGACATCATTTCCGGTTCTGATGAGCGAGGGCGGGGGGAAGAGCAGCGCCGTGCCCGGGAGGCTCGAGCTGTCTTGTTGCTGCGAAGCCCCCCTGGGGTTGTTTTCCCTTTGATCTGAACATCGGATTTCGGATGAAAGGAGGGTTTCTTAGATTTTTTTTTCACCCCGAGGGGAAAAAATGCAAGTACGGAAGCTGTTCTTTTTGCAGGGCAGAGACACAGCGTCTCTCTGTATTGGGCGCAGGGGTTATCCCACTCCAGG